ATGAGTCTGGGAGTGTTCCATCTTGTTCTATTTTTTGAAATAGTTTATATAGAATTGGTGACAGTTCTTCTCTGAATGTTTGATAAAATTCGCTTATAAATCCATCTGGTCCAGGACTTTATTTGGTTGGAAGCTGTTGTATTACCTTTTCAATTTCTTCTTTTGTAATGGGTCTGTTAAGATGTTCAATTTTGGTTTGTGTCAGTTTAGGTACAACTTAGTCTTTAAACTCCTATCATTGCTGCTCGGTACTTTGGAGAGGAACCTGACAGCAGACTTTCTCAGTGTACTATATCTTTTTGATTTGTTGACTGCTGACATCAAGGGTTTGATTGTGGGTCTAAGTAAGATGAAATTATTGGCAATTTCAATTTTTTTCCTCCATCTATCATGATGTTGCTTATTAGCCCATTGGTGAATATTTTATTGGTGTTGTGATGTCATCCATATTGAAGGCTGTGGGTTTTTTACCTTCCGCAGCAATCATTTCAAGTTCTCACTTTCAGCAAGCAAAGTTGTGTCATCTTCATAACCCAGCTTGTTGATAAGTCTTCCTGCAGTCCTGCTGCCACATTCTTTATAGTATCCAGCTTCTTAAATAATTTGCTTGGCATACAGATTGAAGAGGGTATGGAGAAAGGGAATCTAATTCTTACACACACCTTGGTTAATTTTAAACCATGTAGTGTTGATTTCACTAGCCTCTTGATATAGGTGTAGGTTTCACCTGATCCCAGTTAAGTATTATGGGATTACTATTTCTCACAATATTAGCCATAATTTCTTATGATCCACATAGTCAAATGCCTTTTTGAATAGTCATAAAAGCAAAAAGAGGCATTCTTTTTGTATTCTCTGCTTTCAGCCAGGATCCATCTGACATCAGCAGTGATAACCTTGGTGGTAGAAGGATCATCCATGGTGGACAGGTTTTAGTAGAGCTCAAAGATTAAGTCAGACTAGGAAGTAGGATTGGCCATCCACTTCTTAAATAGCAAGTCTCTGAATAATCTGTGAACAGTAGAAGAACATATTTAGATATAGTATTAATTTCTCCAAATTTTTGAGGAGCAGTGATGCCAGTTTGATGACTAAGATGCTTCTGATTTGGGCCATTGCCTTTTCAGTAACTTGGCTATACATCAGACAGCTGGACAGTATATAAGGATAGCAGAAGAAGAATTGCCACTTTTAATCTGTTGTGTTGGAGAAGAGCTGTCTATATCCATATCCCATGGACAGCCAAAAGAACAAACATAATGTCTTAGAGAAAGTGTAGCCACAGTACACCTCAGACTCATAATTAATGAAACTTCTTTTCACACGCTTTGGGTATGTTATTAGGAAAGGTTATTCCTTAGAAAGGGACATTATGGTTGGAAAAGTGGAAGGTTGGCAAAAGAGCAAGATCCTCAACCAGATGGATTGACACAGTGACTGCACTAGTAGGCTCAAGTATGTCAGAGATGATGAGGATGGTACAGGATAGGGCAGAGTTCAGATTTCTTATCTATGAGTTGTACTCAACAGCACCTAACAACAATATATTTCAAGGGTGCCCTGATGGCCTGGTAGAAAGTAATTGTGTTGCTAAGGCAAGGATTCTGAAGCTTCTTCTGACATACTTTGGACATGTTGCAAGGCAGGATCAGTCCTTGGAGATGGTCATCATGCTTGAGAGGGTTGAGGGACGGTCTAGGAGAGGAAGGCCCTTGAAGAGATGAATTGATTCAGTCTCTGGGGTAATGGGGATAGGTATGTTGGAGACAATAAGATTGGCAAGGGATAGAGCAGGGTTCAGCGCTTTTGTACATAGGGTCGCTATGAGTTGCAGACAACTCGATGGCACATAACAACAACAGCCTGAACGCGTGCAGTTAAAATCCGGCAGCTTTTCCATTGGAGAAAGATGTGCAGTCTCCTCCTGTGTGATTTCCTGCCTCTGAAAACCCACTCATCAGCTAGCTATGCTTTGGTTCTGACTCTATGATACATACCAACATTATTTTTCTACTCTTAATGTACTATTTAATTTTAGTTTCAGATGTTTTTCAGATTGTATAAAGGGAAATACTAGTGACTGCACATTTTAGTAGCCAGCTATGTTCCAGAATATTTGTAGTTTTTTAGTTGATTATACAAAAATAATGGTTACCCATGGTGGCAGGCCCTCAGGCCTGGTTTTAATTGTTTCTGTTTTGTTTTGTTTGTCATTCTAAGTGGTATAGCACTGGTCTGTCCATTTGTTGTACAGGGGTAACTCATGGTTGCTGCGATGCTAAACACTGTGACGTTAATGTGTCAAATGTAATAATGTTACCCATGGTGGACAGTGTTTGGTGGAGCTCCCTGATTAAAACAAGCTTGGAAGCAGGAGTGACATCTACTTCCGAAAAGCTTACCTCCAGAAACTACGAACCCGGAGAAACGAAGAAAGTTATACAAGTGCTCAGGTCTTTTGTTCATAGGGTCTCAATGAGTCCTCTACAACTCGAAGGCACTGAACAACTACATACAAAAATATGTTGTTGTGTATCATTGAGTCAGAACTGATCCGTAGTTGACCCTCAAGCAGTTTTAATAGGCAGTAAATCGCATAAGAAGAAATTGTCCATTTTCCTTCCACATATCCTCTGATGTATTCGAACCACATGTCTTTAGGGTGCTAGCGCAGCTTCTTAACCATTAGGCACTAGTGCTCCACAAAGCTCTACTTAATGCCTATTACTAAGTATGATTAAATGCACCTCCCTTTCAAAATCTTTTATTTTGGCTGTGTTAAAACATTGTTAATGATTGTTTGACTGCATAATTTTTCCCCTGGTTTACATCAATTATTCTAATACTTGTCTAGCTTTTGGTCTGAAGCATACTCCTAAATTTTTGAAGTTGACCAAAAGGTTTAACTGTAGGTTGCCTTTCTGTTTGTTGCCATTAATAGGAATAGACTATTGCTCTTAAGAAATCATGGAGAGACTGCCCAGGACAGTTTTACTTCATAACACCATTTGTCAGAGTGCCTTAACTAATTGAAATTTTGTGGTTTTCTTTCAGAATGGTCAGAGTTTTTTGGTTTTGGATGAACAAAGATTTGCAAAAGAAATCCTTCCCAAATACTTTAAGCACAATAACATGGCAAGTTTTGTGAGACAACTGAATATGTGTAAGTATGGACAACAATTTATTTGAAGTTCTGGTGTCAGCCACTGATGAAAGCATTTGTTATTTGTTGTTATTAAGATGATAAAGAAAATACATTTCATATTTGCACCACTAACTTTAAACTTTAGTCTGTTTCACTTGTTTGCATTTTGATGCTTTTTCAGATGGTTTTCGTAAAGTGGTACATATTGACTCTGGAATTATAAAGCAAGAACGAGATGGTCCTGTTGAATTTCAACATCCATACTTCAAACAAGGCCAGGATGATTTGCTGGAGAATATTAAAAGAAAGGTGAATAATTGCTAACATTAATTAAAACATTGCTTTGTATTTAGGGTACTTGCCTAAGACTTTATTTCCTGTTGAAAAATAAATATATAAAAAATATATACTTCTTTTTAGGATGACTCTGAATACCGCATACTCCGTTCCTCCCAGTCCCCGCCCCCACCCCCACCCCACAACCCTCCTACATAGTGCTGTGTACACTTTCAAAAATAAAATGGGGAAGAGGTGTGTGGTTGGCAAAAAAATATAATAATGTATGCATTATTATGTAAAAAATACAGTAATGAAGTTTTAATTATTTTTTATATTTTTCCATGTCCTCAGCTGTACTGGGAATCATTCTTCAAATACTTTTAAGTTCCTGGCACACAATAGACAATAATACACTTTTGAATGAATGCTATATTTTGCTAAGGTAAAATTATTTTACTAAATCCCTAAAAGAGGAGGAAGTAAAAAAGATAGTGGACTGTGAAGCATTTCACTCACTCTATATAAAGTTAATTAAATGTGAAATTTGGTAATAAAAAGACATCAGAGAGTTGGGCAGAATGCTGAAAGGGAAAGCAGGAGAGAGGTCTAAAATGTTCCTGTTTGGACAACTCTCCATGTTTGTGTTTATATATATAGTTAAAATTTGTGTTACTCCAGTAAGTTTTTCTTTCTTCCTCTCACTTTAAACTGTAAAGCTTCTTCTTTTCCAGAACCCTGTCATGGCCTTTTTGAAATTCAGTCTCTTCCTGAATATACTGTAGAGATCTTTTATATAATAAGGGAAGCTTTGGGTATGTCATGATATTTAGTATTTGTTTTATTTTCTAACTATTTTTTTAAAAGGTTTCATCTTCTAAACCAGAAGAAAATAAAATTCGTCAAGAAGACTTAACAAAAATTATGAGTAGTGCTCAGAAAGTTCAAATAAAACAAGAAACTATTGAGTCCAGGCTTTCTGAATTAAAAAGGTAAAGTATTATTTTCAGTTAATCTTATAGTTAGTTCTAGGTGAAGTTGAAAGTTGTCTATTGTTTTAGATCCCTGGGTGGTGTAAAGATTAATGTATTTGGCTGCTAAGCATAAGGTTAAAGGTTCAGATTCAAATCTATACATCTCAGAAAAAAGCCCTGACCATCTGCTTCTGAAAAATCAACCTCTGAAAACCATAAGAAGCATTCTTACTCTGATATACACTCCATGTTAGAATTGACTTTTAACAACTGTTACTCTTGTAGTCCTTTGCTGAAGCCAAGATCAAAGATAGTTTCTCAAAAGGTAATTGGTTTTCATTATTTTGATATGTGGCTATAAAATTATCCCAACATTACATTGTTATGATGTTAGTCAAAAGATTTTATCAAGATGTTATTGTTCTTGTGTACCATCAAGTCAGAACTGACTCATAGCTGACCCTGAAGCGAATTTTCAGAGGCACTAAATCGCATGAGAGTTGATAGTCTCTAGTTTTTCTGTGGAGCAGTTGGAGGATATAAAGCTAGGTACGTCAGAACAATTTGACACACAAATCTTACTGATCAGAGCAGTAGATCTTTAAGTTGGTATAAAAAATGTGACAATTTAATTTCGTAAAATCTTCACATACAAATGAGATTCTTAACTAACCAAACTAATCCCATTGCCATCAAGTAGCTGCCAACTCAGTGACCCTACCGAACAGATTAAAACTGCCAATTGGGTTTCTAAGACTATGACTCTTTAAGGAAACAGCCTACTTCATCCTTTTCCTACAGAGTGACTAATAAATTCAAACACCCAACCCTTTGCTTAACTTAATGACATCATCATCCAGAGCTCCTTTACAATTCATAAATTATAGCAGATGTTATATATGCTACTCATGCTTTCGGCAGAATGTTAAATGATCCAGGATATTAAAAGAAGATGGAAGGAATATACTGAGTCACTGTGTCGAAAGGAATTGGCAGACACAGAAGAATTTCATGAAACATATGAACAAGAGCCTATGGTGATGAAAGAAGAAGTTCAGGCTGCTTTGAAGGAAATGGCAAAAAATAAGGCTCCAGGAATAGGTTGTATGCCAATTGACATATTTCAACTAACAGATGTTGCCCTGGACATGCTCACCAAGTTGTGCCAAGAAATCTGGAGAACAACCACTTGGCCAACTGACTGGAAGACATCTATATTTGTTCCTATCCCAAAGAAAGGTG